GTCGATTTGAACAGCTCTACTGTGGGTGCGGTCTATTGGTACGAGCTAAAATTGTGGTGTCCCGGCCCAGAGATGAGAATAGTATACCACATTTTTGTCACACAAAATATAATCAGAAAGTCACGAAAAATGACAAACACAACAGATTAACAATCGAACTTTGATCACTCCCAACAACAGCTGTTTAGCCACGCGTCTCTGAGCCTATAGTATTATTAAAATATAACCGGGAAAAAACCGGTACAACTTCAAATGGTGAATACATAACCACGAGTAAACAAGTGGTGGGAATTAATTAAAACATTCTACGGCCGTATCAAATTCTTATTCAAACATCATTTCAAACGTTACCCGTAGGCACCGGCGGTGTATTTGCAATAGACACGAATTCTCGTTCCGCCCAACAGTTAGGTAAATAAAGTAACATTTACTTTTAAGTAATTCACCGCTATATTCGACATTTTGTGTTATTGTTATGAACAAAATTATGTACGTGAGCAAAAGAGCATGCAATTTTAATATAGAAACTTTCACTTTCACAACATTTAATTGTTACGAACAACCAAACTTAAAAAGTAATGGCCTAGTAGCTGCGGTGTAAGACTTATTAGGGGTCCAATCCAGGGATTACTTACGTAGGAAACCTCTACACTAACTATAACATTTTTAATAAAATAAGCTCGGTAAAATATGGGCACCACTAGTCACTTCCGTCGTTCTGTTAGGATGATAAGACCTAACAAAGAGAAAAGCATGTGGTGTAAGGCCGGTCCAAAAGGGCCTCTCCCAATGCGCTCTTTGAACCCACTCTTGATGCGTGGTAAGAAGGTGCGGGGGACAGGATGAGGGTGCCAAAGAAAGAGATACTTTTCGTGTCGTCTGCACCCGATTTGGAGCCGCTGGGGAAGAGGAGTGTTGGTATTGCGATACACCGTTCTCCTCAACCAAAGCGTGAGGGACGAGGCATTATCCAGATGCACTGCCAAGATCTAGGGAGGCTTGCTGCTTATTAGCACTGGCTCTCTCGGATCCAATAGAATAGGAGTAAGTTGTCTGTGCAAAAGGAGCTTTTATTTAGTGTTAGTCCGACATTACTCGTCATTTCTCCCGTGAGGGCGAGTATGTGCTGCTATTACCACGTTAACAAAAAAAAAGTCAGGCGGCAAAAACGTGGTTTTGGCAAACTAGATTTTTGACCACATCTGACTTTTTTTTTTTTTTTTATGCGAAAAGTTGCCAAACGAGCAGACGAGTCACCTGATGTTAAGTAAATACCGCCGCCCATGGACATCTGCTACACCCGAGGCTTACAGATGCGTTGACAACCTTTTGAAAATTGGGCTCCGGCTACCTCACTCACCAGACGAAACGCGAAAGTATTTGTCATACTTCCACTTTACGCTGGTTTTCTCTGAGGTCGTGGTACTTACCCGGGCGAGCCTGCCCATTCGTGCAGCAGCCGAGGCTGCTGCGTGGCCCTACCACAGTAAAAGTTGTTAGCAACAAAATGGCTAGTTGAAAAGTTTGAATTAAATATATTATCTTAGCTTGATCTTATTCATTTTGTTTAAACTTCAGTGTTAAAGAGTGATATTTAAATACATTTACTGTAATAATATTTATTTACTACTATTATGTGCTAGTCACCTCGTATTTTATCCCTTTAATCCCTTTTTTCCGTTTTACTTTTTAAATCTTTGGACAATAATAACATTAATAATTTAATCTCTACAGTTAGCCAATGTTGTGTTTAGTTATAAGTAGGTTACAGATTTGTGTATTATGTGTTTTTTAAATTACTTCTCTGTGTATATTTTAGTTTGTGACCTGCTCTCAAAAATAAAATAAAAGAAATTTATTAAAATTAAAATTCTTACTGCTCGACAGTTTTCCATTTGTTCAAGTTGCCAATCGATATTTGGGTATCTAAAAGCACAACTCTCTCATACTGTTGCAACATGACTAAAACGCCATCTAGCTAAAGAAGTATAAGAAACAATCATTTAACCTTCCTTAGGTTAGGTAAAAGTTACTGACGGGATAGTATGAGAAAGAGCCGCGCGATGGCGTTGAATGTTCTCGGTGATCTACAGCTAGATGGCGCTGTCAAGGTAACATAAAGGTTTTTAATTATATTTACAGTTTGAGATCAAAGTACGTAAACTTTTTGCAACACTGGCCTTAGTTACCTACGCGCCTCGTATGGGTTATGCTTTTATATCCAACTAAAATTTTAAAGGTGACAGTTTGTGAGGATGCATGGAGGAATGTTTGTTGCCCTCCCATGGATGCTTGTTGCTCATTCGTGAATAACTACTGAACGGATTTAGGTGAAATTTAACAGCTACTTAACTTATAGATCTGAATGATTTATGAGCTATAATGTTAATCATGCAGTCTGAACAGGCGGGTAGCTAGTTCAATTATAATCAAAAAGAAATCTTTGAATTCTGTATTTTATGTATACGAGTACTGGACCTTCAAATTAATCACTATTCCACAAACAAGTCAAATGGTCCACTTTGAACGCGGAAGGAATACACTATTTGGTATGTAATATATTCCCGGTTAATTATAACATCTGTATCTACAAGGCATATTTTAAGTTTCACTGAGTAAATGCGTTTAACATAAATAAGGTTGCAACCTCAATAACCACAAACTTGAGCAACAGCAAAGCGCTGGCCAGTTCAAAGTAAAAATAAAGAAAGAAAGTAAAACGATCTTAGGGAAACCGCGTATAATTATTTGCTACTTTATGAATGGTGAGGTAATTCTAAAGTTATATTTATTATATGGGACAAAATTAAATTCTATGATTGCTTTTTAGTGATCGTCGAGACATCTGGCTGTGTTACCGTAAAATACTGCGGCTATTCCCTAGGTATCTGAATCTCACTGGGTTTATGTAAAAGCAACTTACGATTAAGTACTGAACCTTTGCACGCGATGGCGTTAGTTATGTTCAGTAAAACGTAACTAGATGACGCTGTAACGCCAAAAAATAAGTTACTCACGCCCGGTATCTGAAACACTGATCATTGTAGAAGTCAACTAATCCGCTGTCAAATGGATTTCCAAATGTTTTTTGAGTTGCGAAAGCCATTGTTAAACTCTCTGAATTGATCAGAATGATCTTCTTATAATATATGTTGCACATAAATAAATCGTAAAACTAAAAATACTCTACGCTGTATATTACCTTTAACACGATAATCTGCGAAAGACCCTAAACATGATCCAAAAATTTATTTTACAAACGAATATAGTAATAAAAAATATAGCTTTAGGAGGAAGTAAAACGTATTTTGTATGGGGAGAATCATGAGGTAAAATACTTAATGAATATTAAGTACCTGACCCGTTTATCACTTGTGTTAGGAGAACTTTATACGTGTATATGAAAATAAATTAGGAAAAATTGTCCTCGAACATAATAAATTTACAAACAAGAGCCATATAGCAACCGTCTATAACATATATTTAATGCATTCCATGGTGGGATATTCATTTGTTTTCTCGTCTGGTTGGGGTTATAAATAAAAAATAAACATGTAGATATATATTGCATATATAACATAAATATTATAAATAAAAATAAACATATGGATATAAATATTATATATAATATATAAATAAATAGGACCCAACCAGACGGAAGCCCTCGGCAGGGGAGACCAAACGGCCGAGGGTTAGGGCGAAAGGGAGAGAAACCAGCGGACGATACGATGCATTCCATTATTATTAAAATTAACAAAAAGACAAAAAAACTTATTGCTTCTAGTATATTTATCAGTTTGCTCGCTGTAAAATTTGTTGATTTTCTTAAGCCAAAGTGAATTTAAATTTGTTTATTGAAGCATGAAATTAATATTTAGTATACTGTTTCTCGAGCACCACTGATGTAAATCGATTGGTTAGACGCAGGGAACGTAAATTAAACATGTTTTATTTTCGAGCACTGGTTAGACGGTGATAAATTTCAAACGAATAGTTTTGTTATAAACGCTCCTGATATTTATATTTTTCCAATTAACACAATGTACTCTAACTAAAAGTAATAGGAATTTTGTATTCCTGAACAGAGTTATTGCCTTAAAGCTTATTAATAAATAAGATGTCTATAAAACGTCCCTTAAATCTGAAGCCATATATGAAATAATAAAATAGGATTTACTTACCGTATTCGACAATCTTTCTGAGGAAACAGGTTGTAGTGAGTGATTATTGTATTACCGATCTACTTATTAGGGTTCCGTACCCAAAGGGTAAAACGGGACTCTAATAATAAGACCCCGCTGTCTGTCTGTCTATCACCAGGCTGTATCTCATAAACCGTGATAGTTTGACAGTTAAAATTTTCACAGATGATGTATTTCTGTTGCCGCTATAACAAAAAATACTAATAGCTTTTTTATAGATAATGGTACCTTCATGCGCGAGTCCGACTCGCACTTGGCCGGTTTTTATTCCTAAGTAAGAAAAATTTCAAATTGTATCGATGTTCGGCATCATATTTGGGAAGGAAACAATCATTACATATTTTTTTAGAGATTTACAATCTTTATTGATCTAATATTTACAAGATTAAATCTATCGAAAATTACATATTATCTAGTAAACCTAATCCACGCGGCATGGTGCCAAGAACTCTAGCTGCATTTCCTCGCTGAATAGTTATGCTTAACCTTTGAGCGAGAAAAGAACCAGCTACATATTATATACAAATTAAAATTCATATTCAACTATCCCTATTACATTATCAAGCATTACACTCGCTTAATGATTGTCAAAGTACTGGTTCAGAAAAAAAAAAAAAAACATTAAACTGAGAAGAACCGGCATACTTTCGTATAGATCAAGCTAATAAAAATATTTGTGTTAGCAAATACAAGTGTACAAATTATTTACTGGCAACTCTTGTAATCGCACCGTGTAAACCTTCGAACCAATTCGCTCCATCTATCGATTCAGGATTTTATAGAAAGCCTGACGTGAAAATGGAATTTAAATTCATTTCCTGTGAGTACCTCGTTCTTATTTTTAAACATAATATGAATAACGGTTGCTGTTGACAAAGTTATCCGTTGCTTTCTACCCGATCACAAATTTTCACGTTTCTAAAATATGATATACATGCAATTAAACATTTAGTAGAGCCGTGATAGCTCAGTGTCCGGGCGCTCACCTTTAATTGAATATACTCGGGCAACCTGAGTTCGATCCCCGGTGCCGGCACCAATGAAGTTTTTAACTTTAAGTGCTGACTTATCAAGTGCTCCGCGGTGAAGGAAAACATCGTGAGGAAACCTGCATCTTTTCGAAATAATAACAAAAAAAAAAACATATTTCGAAAATATGTGAAGTCCGCCAATCCGCAGTGGGGCCGCGTGGTGGACTATGCCCTGATACCCTCTGTATAGAGGAGGCCTTTGCCCAGCAGTGGGACATGTATAGGCTGTTACTTTACTTTACTTTTTAAACATTTAGTATTACCATGAATTTTTAATTTCATATGAATAAATTAACAGCGATCGACAAATTCTACAAATGACTCATTGCCAATAATACACCACCGACAAATGTTTAGTTAAAATATTTACTTAGTTCTGAGATATGTAGTTTTCTAACGAAGTTTCTTTTTGTTCTAACTTAGCGATTTATACAGTTCAAGATGATATTCAAACCGGAATTAATTGAATGGATTGTGATTTACGTTGCTGTACGTAGACTTTTTGGTATTTAAAGGGAAGAAACAGACGAAGACGAAGGCAAGAAGAAGAAACAGGGGAAGTGGTGTATGGGTGATCTCACCTGCTGCGGGGTGCATCATGCGATATCTCCAAATTTTTTTAACTTCACTTAGAACTTCAACGAAGTTCCGTTCCATTATCTATCTGTTGTATTCTGTGCTGTGCTGTGTATCTTCTAGAGTGCGACTGAAATATTTTTTATTCTATTTTTTAGTTTTCGTTCATATAGCGGCAAAAGTAATACATCATTTGTGAAAATTTCAACTATCACGGTTCATGAGATACAGCCTGGTGACAGACAGACAGACAGACAGCGAAGTCTGAGTAATCTCTTTTTAAACTAGATTTTTAAATTAGATGATGAGATCCATTTTAAAAACGGAGATAGTTTCTTTCGTGATGAAATCCATAAACTTCTCTTCCAGCTTTCGTTGTCATACTTGTGGTTGTCGGGATGGATCATGTTGTCGAGGCAGGTACTTATTTAATTGATTTTTTTATTTTAGTTCACATAAATTGCAGAACATCTATAGTTAGTGGGGAAATAGGCAAATGGCGATTATAGTTAGTGCGGAGTGTATGCGAATGCCCCAGGTGAAATGCAGTATTTACTTTGAATGAATGAATGAATTCAGGCGAGTTTAAGTTGATGTTTGGGCAGGTATCTGCCTCCTCAAAGATTTTGAAGATAAGTGGCAATAATTATTAAACATCAAAAAGATCTTGCCTTTTGCATGCTTGTCCCAAAAAAAATGTATCCAACTTACAGTGGTAGCCGTGCAACAGTTTTCGCTGTTGCACGGATGGGCAGGTCCGCCCGGAGAGGTACCACGACCTCACAGAAGACCGGCGTGAAGTGGATATTACACTTCTGCATTTCGTCAGGTGAATGAGATGACCGGTGCTCACGATTTGGGTGTTGCAAATGTCTATGGGTGTCAGTTATCTTATTTTAATTAACAGATGAACCGCCAGCTCGTTTACCACCTCCTCACTTAAAAAAAGTCTAATTCATCTTTTCTTAATTTAAGATTTTTCAACCTAGAAATTTTAAAACTGTCTATTATACAAGTTATAGGTGTTGACTAAAATAGATGCAAGGTTTTTGTTTAATAAATTATATAAACTCAGAGTTTTTAGTCAGCAATGTGCTCAAATAAAAGTATTTTACAATAACGATGTATCAGTTGTTTTAAATACATATAAATTCATTTCAGGGTTTCCAAAAGACCATTACGTGATTTGCAATGTCTACTGCGTGGGAACTGAAGAAGTGTTTGATCATAAATCTGTGTTGGAATGCATGTGAGTTGGTAATTATGTTTTATGTAATACACGAGAAATTAATAAAACAATCCGTTTATTGCATAAAAACCTTCAAACTGATTAACCCCTTTGCAAACTTTTTTCAAATGTTAAACAGTAGTTAATTTTAAACTATTATATAAGTTATGTTATGGAAGTTTCCGCAGGCAAATCCTTTGAAAACTTCTATAAATATCGTAATTCGTATACAACGTTTTTAACAGACATAAGAGTGTTAAAGTAAACTCTTTAGGGATTAAGGAAAATAAGACACGTAATTAAACGGGGTCTAAGCTAACTTGTCAGTCCGACTTACATTAATCAGTAAGATTGTCGGTAAACACCAGGTAATGTGATACAGTAAGTGTTACCAACAAAAAAAATGGAAATTATAGTCCAAACATGTGTCAAGATACCGCGGGACTTTATTGTAAACGCAGTTCTCTCATGTTTAAATAATAATCATATTTTATTTTTGCATAAAAAAATGCATGGTCGATTTACAACCCAAAAAGGTGAACGCTCAAAAGAAACATTAGCGAAGGGACAAGCGAACTGTAATTAAAATAAACAAAAATTTCTGGCAAATAAATAAATTGAATAAACGAGTTTTAAATTATTCTATGTTACTCACCGATGAATTAAATATGTCGTTACTCTAATAATGTCAAATTGGAAACACGTTATTGTTACTTCTATTTGCTGTTGTAATTCCCAATAATTAGCGCTCTGAGTTTGAAGGCTGCTGACCTGTTGTAATACAGGTTTTACGTACCTACCCCAGGCACCAGAGATCCACAAAGATGTAATTTATCACATAGTATAAGATTTAGTATTATACTTGGTTTGTGATGAGAAATAAACGATTGTTATTATTATGGCCGATATTTATTTATTTTCTCATCTGGTTGGGTCTATAAATAAAAACAAGCGTACATGTATATTGTCTATATTAAACAAATAAATAAATAAATAGTACCCAACTAGACGGAAGCCCTCAGCAGCGGAGACCTTACTACATATTTATGATCTTCTAATGATCGGTGTGTACGTTAACCCGGATGCCAGTACTGAATGGAGAGTGTCCTTCCGAGTATTTGGGTCAGTACAAATTTAATCGGTCCAAAAGAGATGCTGTTGAAGGGCGTGTGACTCTAACCTTACATTAGAAGGGAATTACAACAGCAAATAGTATCAATCGGGGTTACGTCATTACTGTAGCATTCAGCCACCAATACCCAGGCATGTCCTTGCACTGCAAGAAGGTCCTTGTCCATCTCGGCTCCGACTTTTCACAATGTACTTTTTTGACCAGCGAGATCATTCAAGTCTCAGCTTTGGCTGATTCATAGAGTCCACGGCCAAAGGACCGGCAAGGAACTTGGTGGTCCTTGGAAAGGTGGCGATCTTTGACATCAGAACAGTTTCTATCCCTTTCTAAAGCTAAAGTCCGAAAGTGTGGAATACTAATGTCATATTTGGGCGGGTGCTGCAAAAAACCATGAAGCTACTCTGGAGAGGCGTGCAAGGAGACTTATTGGTGACGCTGACCTGGTTAGAAACAATCTGCCCGGTCACAGAGTAGCCAGCCTCTCGGTGTTTGATAGGTTGCATTCCGCAGTGCCCTTAGAGGATTGCATTATTTAGTTCCATCCTCTCAATTCCACCATCGGCAAACTAGATGAGCAGCAGGACTCCATCCTTTGTCGTTGACATTCAACGCCTTCGAGTGAAGAGCTTCGCTTCTTCTTTCTTACTGCGTAGAGAGGAAAGGGTGGAATAGTTTGCCAGTGTCAATTTTCCCTTCCGATTATAATGTGAGTGTCTTTAAGGCAAGAGTGAATAGACTGTTACTAAGCCAGTGCATTTACCATCTAAAAGTACATCTTATTTTCGGTCAGGTTAGATAGGAGTCAAACAATAGCCGAGTTTTGGGTAAAAAAACATGAGAAACGAACGAACTTAGCCAAAATATCACATTATATGTATTTTGATATAGCGACCGTTAAATTAACTGGTGTGTGTAGAGTGGCCTGCACTCAAACAGTTAATGTAGTAGTATATTATTTAGTGCTAAAAGGTCCTCCTTTATCCATACAATGTATGAATATGTAAAGGTTTCAAGTTGATAAATAATTACGGAAATATTTCTTATTATCACGAAACAACGATTACAGAAGGCTTAATAACGTAGGAACCAGCTTCCCGGTAACAGCTGGCCGTTAAGGCAACAATAGAATTGCTACGTGGTTCTACTTACAAATATAGTATACTGTTTACTACTACATAATACAAATTATATCTGCAAAAATTCGCATCTTAAGGTTCATCTTGAGTGTATAGACTAGTACTAAAAACAAAAACAATCATAACTGTTTCACGTTAAAAGGATAAAACGGGCAGCGCTGGTATAAAATGTTAAAATAAAAAGATACTACAACATTTATGTACGTGCTCGGATGGATAAATTTTGCATGTCATAACGTCAAGTCAATAAGGAAATGGCATTTAAGTCGATTCGGACCTCGGTCCTCTGCTGTGCTAAGCATTTTTAACTTGTGAATAAATAATGCGAGATACAAGGAACTTTAAAGTAATAAAAAATCGGAGAGAGAAAGGGAGGCAATGGGCACCCTGGAAATCCACCGTCGGAGACCAGGGCGCAAAACAATTGCACGGACATGGTACCATGTACCCGGTCCAGTCCACTCAGATATTGCGTTCCTAACGCAAAAACGACAGGGTAGGTGCAACTTTTTTTTGTGTGTATCCCGTGTTCGCCGGGAACTCATACCCCTGCTGCCAAGCCATAAAGCGAGGGAACCATAATGGATTTATCTCACGTAAACAAAAAGTCTATACTCCACGTCATACAGGACAGTATGCAGAGGTTTCACTTTCCATAAACCTTCCACATCTTTTTGCCGCTTTTAAAATTATACCGCTTGTCTCTTTACCTTATCGATATTATATTTTTAAGGCAGGTGCTGCTTTATGGAGAGGCCACTTTGTATGTGGCGTTGTATTTTAATGCAGTCGGATATTTTGTTTCATTTAATATTTTATGCTTGTATTATGACTTCCCTTAAAATACCCTCTATAGGAGGCCTTTGCAAGCCTTCAGCAGTGGGACATGTATAGGCTGTGACTTTACATTTTTTATTACTTTTATTATGACTTCTTTCTTAGAAGTAACAATGACACTACTTTATTAACCTTATCAGACGTGTAAATCATGTGATAATGATTTCCTATCCTCAATCAAGAGCAGTAATTTCATATAAGAAAGAAAGTGAGAGTTGCGATGCATATAAGAAAACCGTAGAAAAAAAAAACTGGTTCATATCACAAAAATCAGAATGAGTGGCCTCCGAAGTCAACGCCCAAGATACTGCGCCATTCTTTCAAAAATAATGTATTTTCATAGTTATAACTTTGTGTTAAGAGTGACGATAAGATTTTATTATCTTTATATTTTATTAGGGGAGTTAGACTTAGGGGGAGTATTATACATACATAAAGAAATAAAATAAAAAAACCGGCAGGTGCGATTCCGTCTCGCGCACTAAGGGTTTCGTACCATTATCTAAAAAAATGTCAAAAAAAATCTGTCAAAAACAAAATCTGTTAATACCTTAATCATTTTAATTAATTCGCAAAAAATGGTATACTTAATTTATGATACTAAATGGAACGCAATAAGCTTAGGGAATCCCTAGGAGAACATTGCTTGATACTGTTTTCCTTGTAGGTAAATGTCGATTATTATGTAGAAAATATCTTACCTGTGCATTTGTCTTGACTATTTTGGTATGCCGCCTTGTAAGTATTCAAGGGTTAGAGAGTCATAAAAACAGTTAGAGAAATGTTAATGTAACTATTTTTACTAACGGTTATTTTATCCAAAGTTATATACTGCTTTTTACATGTTCAAATAATTCTATTTATAATTTGTTGTCTTAATTATTGAGCATTGAAACCGACTCCATCTCAAGCTTTCAAAGCTTCAAGAGAAAATCATAAACTTTATTAAGATTACTCGACGCATTAACGCGCCCAATCTGTTGGTCGGGGAACACAAAATTTTAATACCGTGAACAATTGTTTTTATATAACTATTAAACATGTCAAGCATATCCATAGGATTAACAGTGTCCAGATATTCGCATCCGTATATAAAGAGAGCCTGAGTTTTTTTTCTTAACAAAGCAAACCAGTACGTAGGTACCGCTGACACGCGCATTCCGGTATCATGAGATTTATTTTCCGTGAGTACCTTTTCATTTGTCAGCGGATAACAAATGTTTGACAGAAACGTTTGCGTGATGATACTTTTGGTTTGATTAATGAACGCTTGGCGAATGCCGGATCTGAAGATATCTATTTAATGATAGGTGGAAAGAACTAAGTGCGTACTCGGCGTAAAAGCTTGCTTGGATAAACGGATCGGATGTTAAAAATTTCTTTTTTTTATGTGAAAAGTTGCCAAGCGAGCGGGCGGTTCACGTGATGTTAAGTGAATACCGCCACCCATGGACATCTGTTACCCCCGAGGGTTCCAGATGCGTTGACAACCTTTTTGAAAATTGGGCTCCGGCCATCTCACTCACAAGACGAAACGCGAAAGTATTATACTTCCACTTTACGCTGGTCTTCTGTGAGGTTGTGGTACTTACCCGGACGAGCCTGCCCATTCATGCAACAGCCTCGGCTGTTGCATGGCCCTACGAAAAATGAATACCTACCACAAATAATATAACCATTTACGTTGTACGGTGTACTTTGGTAAAAATCACCATACAGGCCAAGGCAATTGTAATCCCTGCGGGTCTTTGAAAACGATCCCAGGGAACATCCAATGGACGAAGTGCAGTCATTTGATACTTTCCCGGTCATTTCACGCCATTCGCATTCGGCATCAATGAAACGCTGCATATGCATTTCCACCTTTTTAAATAGTGGGCCCTGGCTACCTCACTCATCAGACAAAACGCAGAAGTGTAACACTTCCACCTCACGCCGGTCTTCTGCGAGGTTTCGTCACTTACCCGGACGGGCCTGCCCATTCGTGCAACAGAGAAGAGTGCGTGGCACTACCACAGTTGAAATTGTATTGTTGCAGTGCTCTCGTTGATGTTTGCGGTTTGGACGATTGGCGCGGCGGCTTGCATTTGCACCGCCGACTACACCCCGGTCTGCGCCACCAACGGCAGAACCTATAGCAACCGATGCAGGTGACCGTTTCGCCATCAGAAAAAATCCGCCAAAAAAACTTTGAATTGCAATTTTAGGCGACAATTTATCACATGCTACGGCGAAGGAAATCCGTATCTGTAATCTGCCAATCCGTAGTGTGTTTGCGTTGACTATGCCCTAATGTCCTCTGTACAGAGGAGATATTTGCCCAGCAGTGGGGCTGCGCATCTTAATATATTGGTGTGTTACTTTACAGAGTGGCTCGTTAAATTACTAGCCCTTCGTCTTATATCATGGTACTTCGTATATACTCTGATCGCTGGCTGAACACAGATATTGCATATTTCCGAACTATATTGCCGCAAACTTAACCAATATCATCGTGCTTAATATTCTTTGTAATAATCTCGTAGACTTTGTAATATTCGAAGTAAAGTATAATAAAATTCGTAATAAAATTTTATTAAAATGTGAATAGTATTTGAGTAACTTTAGACATTGAAATTGGTATTGCTAGAAACAAAGGAATTCCTCGTCGCTAATAAAATCTTTCGCTACAGCATGTGAAGAATTGGGACGAAAGAATAGATATTAAAAGTTAAATCGCGAGTCGGACTTTAACTCGTTTTCTGGACCGGGTTTTGCGACGTTTTGTAATCTGATCGAAACTGTATAGTTTTAATGAAAAAAATTATTTCTTTGTTTTTTACCCAGTAAAAGTGTAGATATTTATATAATACTTCTTTTTATGTGAAATGGCAAACGAGATGGCGGTTCACCTGATGTTAAGTGATAACCGCAACACCCATAGGATTTTAGATGCGTTTCCACCTTTAAATAAATTTGGCCCCGGCTACCTCACTCACCAGACGAAACGCAGAAGTGTGACACTTCTACTTTACGCCGGTCTTCTGTGAGGTCGTGGTACTTACCCGGACGGACCCGCGCATTCGTGCGACTGTGATTTAATATTCTAATTCAGCTGATTTAATATTCTAATATGCATAAATAAAAAAACTTTATATTAGCATATGACATTAATAAAGTTCATAAATAAACGTATTAAATTCATAACAGTGCGGACAGAGACATCTAGATGCTTCCAATGATAACAGGGCTTTCAATAAATCCCATATTTATAGACGGTGAGGGCTGTTTGTTTCATATTGGACAAATTTCCTGAAGGCATCACTAAATAGTATAAAACAAAGACGTCCCGCTATCTGTCTGTCACTACGTATGCGTAGATCTTCAAAACTACGCAACGGATCTTGATGCGGTTTTTTTACTAGATAGAGTGATTCAAGAGAAAGATTTATATGTATAATACACTGCACCCGTGCGAAGCCGGGGCGGGTCGCTAGTACATAATAATATTAGTTAACATAATACATGAGTCATCCAAAATTATCAATTGACAATGCAATTGTTAAAATTGCAATAGATTAAACGTAGATAGATGTCGAGATCTTCGCGTCGTGAGGCCATCGGCCGCTTGGTAAAGCGTTTGAATATGTAGAAATCAAACAACGCATATTCAAAGAGATAATTTCAGAGTTTGACATGTCATTTCACAAAGTTGTTCTTTGGAACGCGTTGTAGAAGTTATTTCTAAAATTCTTAACTGATTTTTTTTAATTTGTTTGCACAGTTTGGAAGCTTATGTTTTACGCTGTGGACGTATAGATAAATGGAAGATAAAATTAATGTATTCATAAAAAACTTTCGCTTAAAAACTTCTTATGAGAATGTAGAATAATGACAATTAAATATCTATTTAAAATAGCGAAGTAAACTTTATTAAAATTCTTTGCCGTTATTCTTAAAATTAAATTACTTTTAATTGATACTTATTTATTTACCATTCGGTGACTGATAATCATGGTAGAGTGCAAAAATTTCTCACGTGTCAACTAATATAGGTTATAATACCGTATTAGTATTTCCCACTAAATACTTTATAGTGCTTTTCAACATAAATACTAATAACGATGTAACATAATAAACTAACATAAATTATATTCCGCCTGTATATTTCGATTTTAGTACGTGGTTTTTAATAAACCTAAGCTAGATTCCTGCGATCTTTTTGCGATCCTAATATTTTGTTTGTATCCGATCGATGGTAAGGTTTAAACAATTAGAGATTCATTAAAATTTGTAGAAAAAGTATGAAAAGATTGTCAACGCTGTGGGAATCGAACACACGTCTTCGGCTTTCGCGGCCTGACGCTCTAGCCACTGAGCTAATCGGCTTCAATCTTTTGGTACTTTTACAAAAAATTGTAATGTTCAATCTAAAGTGCAGAGTGCACTAGTATAAAGTTTTATTTAATTTCTGATTTATTTATCTTACAGCATGGTCTGTGATGGCGCCAAATTGCTTCATGTGGGCGAATGTGGATATCTGTCTTCAATGTGACGAGGCCTCGAAGATGGCAGACAAACAAGCAACTTATAGTATTTTCACGCTAAATTACTTAAAACATTTGAATATATGCACAGTTATATAATTGTGCATGCAAACATTTTATGATAATGAATATGATTTGTATCTTAATGCGTTTCATTTTATTATACCGCAAATAGCCGGACGAAGACATTTGGCATTATTACAATGGTAAAGATCACATAGCCCACCAAAGCATAGTTTTTAGTAGAGATTGCGACTGGACCCTTCTAAAGGGCTTTTTTAATTCAATTCAGGCCTTTTGAGAATCACACAAATTTACGCCTGATTAATTATTGCAATAAAATCTATCAATTGAAACCTGTTTTTTTTATTTTTAGAAAAACATTGCTATTTAATTTAGAATACGATTATTCGGTGTTTTAAGGAAGTTTTACAAACATAGATTTCATGCGAACAAACACCCAGATGCGAAAAAACTCTCTGTGGGTCAAATAGTTGATCCTCCTGGGAATCGAACCCACGACCCTCAACGTCGAAGGCAATATCTTAACAACTGCGCCACGGAGTCATCAAATACAGATACAAGTTTATTACAGTATATTCCGTAATAAATTTATTAAAAAATAAAAATAAAATATTTCTTTAATAGATTGGATAATTACACCAGTTCAATTCAACGAAAGAAACAAAATATATAATAATAATAATAAAATATCTTTATTCACATAGACGCTTGCGCGTTCTTATGAAACGTCAAAATTTTACAAGAAATTAACACGTTCGTAAGTTACCACCGGTTCGGAAAGCAGTTTCTGTTGAGAAGAAACCGGCAAGAAACTCAACAGTTGCCCTTTTTTAAAAAATCAGTTTACAATATAATAGTACAGGTACAATAGTCTTGTTTTAGCCTACGTGAGTATCAACAGTATTAACCCCACACATTGGCCTCGTCAAGATATTCGGCAATAGTATAATAGGCTTTAGCCATAAGTGTACTTTTAATTTTTCGTTTAAATTCATCAAGTGGCGGACTTAACATCGACTGTGGGATTTTATTATACATGCGCACACTTTGCCCCATGAACGATCTGTTTACTTTTTGTAGGCGAAATAATGGCGTAGTTAGTTTGTCCTTATTTCTAGTATTTAGTTTGTCTGTCACTATTCTTTTGATAATTATTAATATTCTGTTTAACATACAAAATATTACAATAAATATATTGAGACGATCAAAAACATCGATCCAGTATCATTTACTCTAGATAATAATGATATATTTCGTTTTGAAATCTGATTCACATCACGTCATGTAGAGCTAATAAATTGGCAACCTACCCATCATTGTTCAACTGTAATTAAAATGTAGTACCGAGCATTTTTTTTTACACCCAGACACTAGAAAAACACTGTTCATCACACAATATTTTTCCAGTAGTGGGGATCGAACCCACACCCTCTGACGCAGGAGGCAGGTACACTACCCACTACGCCATTCGGGTTGTCATTAGTCAATCACACCTCCAATTTTCTCCTCCAAAAGAGGATTGACATTAAAATCCTACAATGGTTCACTGTCTGTGACAATGCAATATAGGCAAATGCAATAAAAACATTGGGTTGAAGTTCTTATGACCACGTTTTTCAAGTTGTTGGTTAGGTAATCTTTTTTAAAGAACGTTTTACAAACATTAATTTCACGCGGATAAACACCTAGATGCGAAACAACTATCTGTGGGTCACGCAAATAGTTGCCCCGTGTGCGAATCGAACCCACAACCCCCAATGCTGAAGCATGCAACTGCGCCACGGAGTGTAAAAAAGAGAGAGTAAAGTATGGAGAGTAAAAAATCTTAAATATTTAATTTGAGTTAATAGCACAAGTATATGACTTCTCAGGATCGTGCTTCATGGCAGTCTGTGGTGGAGGCCTATTTTCAGAGTTCACTACTCAAGTAGGCTTCCTTGCTTTTTCAAGAACTCCATTTATTTATGTCCCAAGATTTGATGTTCATGGTCAAATTGAAATTTCAATTTCTTTGAATCTATGGGAAGGTGATACCAGTCCCAATAGAAGTAAATGAAATTATCTGTGTAACGAATACATAATAAAATCTCCCAGAGCTATTAGACATAGATACAGAGGTATAAACGTATTAATGAAAATCGTAGGTGTGATGTGGGCGCGGCTGTCCTAAGTTTAAACAAAATTAATAAGATCAAGCTAAGATTTAATTCAAACTTTTCAACTAGCCATTTTGTTGCTAACAACTTTTACTGTGGTAGGGCTACGCAGCAGGCTAGGCTGTTGCACGAATGGGCAGGCTCGCCCGGGTAAGTACCACGACCTTAGAGAAAACCAACGTAAAGTGGAAGTATGACAAATACTTTCGCGTTTCGTCTGGTGAGTGAGGTAGCCGGAGCCCAATTTTCAAAAGGTTGTCAACGCATCTGTAAGCCTCGGGTGTAGCAGATGTCCATGGGCGGCGGTATTCACTTACCATCAGGTGAACCGTCTGATCGTTTGGCAACTTTTCACATAAAAAAAAATCACATGTTCACTGGCCGAAGTCACGAACCCAAAAGAGTCAAAAGCAATTGAGATATGTCTCA